ATGTGTTAGATTTAAGATCTATTTGAAGAATAATATTGCCTATATGATGGTAGTTGATTACTTATTTTTAGGAAATATTGTTACTAAATGAAACATAAGTTATCCCATATAAATTGTCGTCCAAATCTTTTTCAAATATTCTATTATAATATCTAACGTACTATTTAGGAAATAAATCAATGATATACAATAGTGTTATTATCAATTAATTTTATGACACATAAATATAGACTATAAATTAAAACTGAAACTAAACTAATAAAAAAAAAAAACTACTCGTAGAGTCGTAGTACTAAACATTGGGTAAAAAACAAAATACAAAAAATTACATTTAACATGTAACGCTATTTTGACAAATAGGAACAAGGATATTTTCGATTATCATTAATAAAACTAGAATACGTATATATACAAAACAGAAGTATGATATGTCCTAATTATAAGGAATACAACTAGCAATAGTAGTATGTATTTAGCCTAAATATAAGGGGTTGAATATTGGCTTTCCTATTTATAAATACAAAAATATATTTACTATATGTTATCAATTTATCATTGTTTCTTTCCAAAAAAAAAAAAAAAAAAAGTTTGCCATGTAATTGCTCACCTCCACCTTTTTTTTCATTTGGTTATTATATGCGATTCGTCCAATATTAGGATATGACATTACTTATATATTTAGAATTGGTCTCAATCTCCTTAATTATTGTAAAATTATAATAATAATCGAAGACGGTTCATTATTTAAATTAATAACAAACTAGTATCCAAGTAATCCAACCATTGGGTCACACGATAGATAAGAAGATAATCATCTAATTTGACAATTAGGTTGCCATTAGAATAGCTCTAAAGGTGGTTTGATTGAGAGTTTAAATTTTGAGGAATATGCATACAGAAATCAAACCACAATAGTTGATATATAAGTGATCATTGATACTTAACTTGGTATATGTAAATTGTGACTTAGCTAGTGAATGAGGATTGAGGACCACGATCCTATTTGCTATTAATTAAGAAAAATATTAGGATATTAATGCATGCACAGTATGAACTAATTATTAGCAATGTCCAAAACAACGTATGGTCGTAGACCAAGTAAACAATAATATTGCATTTTATAGGTAATGTCCTATTAGCATTTGGGTTAATACCTTATATGCAAACAAAATCGAAAACTCTATCTTTTTTTTTCAGATCAAACAAGTATTCCAAAACAAAAATCGGTGTCTTCTCCAATTTGCTCACAAACCCAGATTTCTAAAAATTGTTTTTTTTTTTCGCATACATATAATGACCAATTTTTCATCCCTTGTTTGCGATTATCCAATTAACATTTATTGCTTTAGGATTAAAAACAATCCCAAATTCATACATGAATCCAAATTTTGAATGAACTCTTCACATATAATATGTAAATCGATGTATATTTTCAATTTTCATTGATGTGCGAGTGTATTTACGGGACAAAAAGATTACCATAATGGTGGTTAATCTCATCCATGGATAAACAAACTTGAAGGACAATGATGAATCATGAAGAACATTGATGAACAATTTTTTTATTTTGATTATTTTAATTTAATGTTATTTTTTTATTTTAAAAAACTGATTTTAATAAATAAATTTCGAAAATTATAAAATAATTTCTGAAATTCAATAATTATATTTTAGAAAATAAAAATTGAATTAAAAAAGGAAAATACTAAAAATAATGTTTGACCAAGGTTAAAAAAAATTAAAAATTCGACCAATGATAATTAAGTATAGTGATGGTCTAAATAAAGTGGACCATAGTAGAAACATCCAAAAAAAGAGCTATTTAAGGTTCGGGCCGCGCGCGGGCTAATCTTAATAAACGAGCCGGCCGCGGGCCAGTAAATAGAACAGACTCACACACAATATTTTTCGAATAAACATTCATTTATATGATATGCACATATTATATAAACATTAATTAATTTGTGATTGTTTGATGTTATATCACTATCATACGACAAATCCCACTGTATAAAACTAATATATTATGACCATTTACCAATTGGTTAGTAGGCGTGACGAACATGAGATTTTCATTTGATGGAATAGTTTCATTTAAATCATAATATAATTTGGAGACAGTATGAAATTTTTGTTCGATTTAGTTTGGACTACCAGACCAATTTCACTTTTGGATTTAAGTTGGTTATTTAATTTATGATTTAAGTAATTAATTATAAGCAATTTAGTTTTCTATAGTCTAATAGTTAGATAAGCTTTTTCTTTCTTCTCTTTCTTTTTTTTTTTTTTTTTTTTTTGGAAACTAGATATGCTTTCCTCATTTGCTATAATATAGAGAGAGAAAGAGTGGAATGTTAAGATACAAAAGAGGGAGAATGATAGAGAGAGAAAAAGAGGAGAAGAGCCGAAAAGGAAGCTCTAATCTATCATAATTAACAAAATATGGTCTAGTGGCATTGTTTTTTGTAATATTTTTGTAAATACGGAGTACAACAATATCTGTGGGGCCTACATTTAATAAAAAAAAATTGTTGACTTATTTATAAATGTCATGTAGATAAACTTGTATTTTCTCATAGGGGAGTGTGAGGAGAAAGAAAGAGAAGGGTGGTTGAGAGAGAAAGAGAATGGGAAGAGTAACAGAGTCAGAGGGGTGGTGTGAAGGATGCTTGTCTTAAATTTCGTCGGCAATTATTGTTTGATTTTAAAAACAGTCACTAATCTCTACTGTGTGTTAAAAGGCATCCATAAATGTGTGTAAGTACCACGTGTATCCATTCTTACACTGATATAGCACCACATCATCATTCAACAATCTTTAGGTTCATGCCACGTCGTCATTCAATGATCATAATTAAAAATGCATGCAAAGAAATTTGAACCTCAAACCACATTGAAAGGATCGCAAACCACATGTATTACCATTTTAGCTAGAATTAATTCATGCTCTATATAATAATCTTAATTTATATATAAATACATATATACATGCATTATAATGTAGAATAAATTATAATTATCATAGTTTCTAATTTATTATTTACCCACGTTAAAAAAATTAATACGAATAAGTCTTTTAAAGTAGAGTCTAATATAAAAATGAAATTATTCAAAGTATCACCCGGGGCGGCAAACCCTGGTCACACACTAGTTTCCTTTTAAAACTCGTTGGCAATTAGCGATTGATTTTTAAAATGTTTTTTTATTGGTCACTAATTTGCCAATTTATTAACTGATTTTATGCCCGTCGGAAAATTGGTCACTAAAACTGCATGTTTTTTTAATATGTATTTATTAGTACTCCACTACTCCTTAACTTAGAAATTGTTCTTGGTTTATTACTATATTTGTCACATTTTTCTTTGATATTTTAATTTCTTATTAGGTTAAACCTCGTACAATCTGTGTATGTCAAATAATTATGATGTCAATGTAATCATATAGAATAATGGCAATGTAATCATATAGAAAAATATAAAATATAACAAATCAATACACTGCATTAAACGTATGAAATATATATATATATATATATATATATATATATATATATATATATTTTGAAATAATAGAAACATGTGAGAGATAATATTTTAGTATGCAATAGTTATATATTGAACAAGTTGATTGATTAAAAAAAATTGTGAAAGTTGATCTTTTAGGAAATTTACTTTAGATTTTATACAAAGTAAAAGTTATAATAAAAACAAACTTTTTTTTAAAAAATTTTTTTTAAGAAAGTTATTTTGGAGGGAAAATATTTAATGATCTACCGCGTACTATGTACTATTGCTACTACCACCTACTACTAGTCTACTGCTACTACTATCACTACTACTAGGAATGGCAACGGATCAAATTCGGGTTGGATGTGGCTAAATTCAAATCCGATCCGTTTAGTAAATGGACCCTGAATTCGGATCAGAATCCGAGTCCGAATCCGATCCGACTCGTAATTTTCGGATCCGAATCCGGTCCGTCTATACGAACCTCCGAAATGATCCGAATTTTTATTTATTTATTTTTGTAATGTCATATACCTATAATTGCTTGTATTGTCATACCAATTAAAATATAAATATAACATATTTAATTATAAACTAAGTTATGTAACAAAATTTTGCTACAAAACAAGCAAATAATTGTCCAAAGTTATAGAGCATATGCTTATACTCTCGGATTCGGATTCGGACTCGGATCGGACTCCGTCGGACTTTGCGTAGGGTCAAAGTCCGATCTACCTCCTATTCGGATCTATTTTATCGAATTCGAACTAATTTTAAACGGATTCGAATCGGATTTTTTCCTTGGGATCGGATCGGATTCGAATCGAACTCGGATTAAATTGTCATCCCTAACTATCACTAGTACTACCCCCACTAGTAAAAAGGAACGATTAGAGTATATGTTTATAAAATAAAATCTAAAACCAATCCAAATCGATCTGGTGTTCAAAAATTAGTCTACATTCAATTCAATTTTACACTTGTGAACAACCCCAAGCTAGTTTCCATAGGACATGTCACATTGTCACATTAATGCTTCAGCATAGGGCGCATAGCAAATTACATCTCATATACACTTCTTTTGTTCTAAATTAGATGGCATTTTTTTTTTGACACTATTCATAAAATGTTACTTTGACTATCTTTTGTGATTTTAATATAAGAAATAATTACATAGTCATGTGAGGTCTCCTCTTAATATCTATTTTCAAAATAGCAAGTTTTTATAATTTTTACTTATAATGAGAGATATTTATAATTAATTTAAGCATTAATAAACGTGATAAAAGAAGCGTGTCAATTAAATTGAATAGAGGAAGTATGAAGCAACCTTCGAATATATGCAGTGGCAGACCCACGTGAGGACAAGGGGGGACCATTGTCCCCCACTTTCAAAAAAAATCAGAGAAATTAGAAAAAAAAGAAAAAAAAAAAGAAAAAGAAATCAGCAGCACGTGGGTAAGAAGAGAAGGAAAGAGAAAAAAATTCAGAAAAAAGGGAGGAAAGAGAAAAAAAGGGAGGAAAGAGAAATTCAGAAAAAATTTCAGAAAATTAAGGGAGGAAAGAGAAAAGCTTTGAAATTCAAAAACCTAAGAGAAATTGAAGATCCCCACCACCGACCACCGCAAGAGCACGGCACCACCGAGTCACCGACCGCCGGATTTCTCGCCGCAACACCGCCACAGCGCCACTACAGTCAAGGCGTCAACACCTGAAGAAATTTCTGAAATTCTGCAAATTAAATCACAAACGAATTCTACTTAGTCCTAGTTTATCTCCATCAAAATTTTTGTACTTCAAAATTCAATGGAGTAACAAGCTGAGGATAACGAAAACCCCACTCAAAACCCTCTGTTTCCGGTATGTTTGCTAAACCCTAGGTTTTGGATTATTATATGTACGCATAATTACCTTTATTTTACAATTCTTGTTGATTTTTTTGTTGGAAATATCAAATTTAGCTAAGTTATTGTGTGTTGATTTTAATTTTTTCATGTTGATTATATATTTTCTCATTACTTTGGATGCTTTTAAATGATAAATTTGTTACATTTTGATTGGATTTGATAGTGATTCCGTATAGTGTGAATAAGATTTTATAAATCCAATTATTACCAATTGCAAGATTGATTTGAAGGCAATTGACAAAATAAACTTTTTTTGTGTTTAATCTTTTGTTGTTGTTGTTGTTGTTGTTGAAATCTTATACTTAGCTGGTTTTATTGCTTAAGGAAAAAGTCGTACAAACTAATTTGTGGAGAGAGGAAATGATTTGAGGTGAATGAAACTCCTCTATATGTCAGGTTGTTCTTTTTTTTTTTTTTTTTGATTTTTTTCTAATCTTTTTATCTTAGATTATAAAAAATTATAGAATTAGTTTATGAGTAATTATGTTTATGAAATCATGTTTTTGAATTAATTTTGATTTAGTTTATTTCTTATTAGTATTGTTTACCCGTTTTTTTAAAAAAGAAACAGGTTGATGTTAGTTGAATTAACGAAATTGTCCCTCTATTGTCAAATTTCTAGGTCCGCCACTGAATATATGTGTGCCTAAGTGATGTATGTTGTTATTGAATTATGGTGCATGTCAGTATCATTACGCGTTCTTTCTTCTACTTATTAGCTAGTTGTGCATATGAGGATGACCGGCTTGGATTGAGTCTTGAGGATTCAGGTGCCACAACATAATGCACTTACAACTTTAACATTTCTCAAATTAAGTAAGTTTTTAAATTTAAGGTTATACAGTGTAATATTTTTGGCATGTACATTAATGAAGATTAAGGGTCAAAATTTTGTTACTTGGATTCAAAGAGGCAATTTAGTAAACTTAATTAGATAGGCCAGGCCAGGTATGTTTTTGGGTCCATTTATCAACTACATACTCTGATATTTTGACAAAGCGATAGACCGATGCAATAATTATCCAATTTAATATGGTTGTATGATTGTGACAGTTTTATTCATGATTGACAGAAAAGTTGCTGTTAGAAATTTGATTTAATATGATGAGTAATGATCCTTTGCCGCTTTGCCGATCGGCATTCGGCAGTGCTAGCTATAATGCTGTTGCTATGGTCTTGCTTTTATTTTGTAGGAATGGAACGAAATTGGAATACGGCTAAGGGTCACTTCTGATTTACTGAATTGAAATGAACAAAATTGTTTATTAGAAAAGAAAATTAGGAAATGAAGTGAGCTGAAATGAATTATTTATGAGAGAAGAAAATTAGAAACTGAACTGAACTGAAATAATCTGAAAATAAGCTGGAAAAAAAAATAGATTCTAAGTTTCTATATTTATTTTTGTAAGAAAAGAGAAGGCGTTATGTTGTACAAGATAATCATTCAAATCATACTTACTCCCTCCATTTTTTTTAAATGCATCAATTTAGCTTTTACACTATTTACATGTCATGTTTGACTTAATTTTTTTGCTACTATAAAAATTAATAATCTGTAAATGGTTTATATATATATATATATATATATATATATATATATATATATATATATATATATATATATATATATATATATATATATATATATATAAGGGAAGACTTTCGTGAGAATTTTTCTTATATGAGAACACTTTTTATGTTCTAAATTTTTACTCGTATGTTCAAAATTTTAAATCTAATGTTCTAAACTTTTCCCCAGGTGTTCTAAATTAAATCAGATGTTCTAAATTAGTACTTACATGTTCTAAACCATAAATTAGTTAAGTTAGATGTTATAAATTTCGAATGACTTATTCCGAAATTTTAACTTATTTGTTCTAAATTTTAAAACGTGCGTGTGTTCTAAGATTTTTAGTTATATGTTCTAAATTCGAAAGCATATGTTCCAATTTTTACTCACATATTCTATATTTTTACTTATATGTTCAATATTTTTACTCCCATTTTCTATATTTTATACCAAGTGTTCTAAATTTTTTATTCACACGTTCTAAATGTTAAATCAGATTTTCTAAATTGTAATCATATGTTCTAAATTTCATAAAGCAAATTTTTTAAATTTTTACTCTCATGTTCTAATTCTTGAATAAGATGTTCTAAATTATTGCTCACATACAAGTTCAAAATTATCAGTCATATGTTCTAAATTATTAGTCATATGTTCTAAATTTAAATTTGAGTCGCATGTTCTAAATTTTTACTCGTATGTTCTAAATTTTTACTCACGTGTTCCAAATTATAGATCAGTTCTTATATAAGTATGAATTCTCACATATGAACCTATTCTCACCAGATCTCTCTCTCTTTCTCTCTCTCATATATATATATATATATATATATATATATATATATATATATATATATATATATATATATATATATGTGCGTAAATCCTTAATTTACTCTTTAGTTTGATAGTCAAAGATATTCTTAACTCTTAGATAATGTATCTAGTTATATTTTATTGCTTACTCATGTACTATATAACGCACTTATACTCATGAATATAATCAAACTTTTCAAACATTCTTTTTCTCATAATTCTCTTAGACACACTACTGGGCTATATAATCTCTCAAAATCTTTATGAATGTGACACACAAATCTTACACTGACGTATTTTTAATGCCTAAGTTTCTAATTGAAACGACATATTCTCCTAAATCAAACGGCTATGAAAAATAAACTAATTGTAGTAAAGAACAACACTCGTTCCTTGGATTAGAAGAAAATTTTGTATAAAGATTCAAATGGAGTGACCTAACCATGCACGATTTATTTTAACCTAGCTTGTATTTTTTTTGTTTATTTTGATGCCTTAATCGCCCCTAGTTAGCACCCCAAAAAAATTATGTAATATTTTGAACTAGTCTATTTATAGGCCTAATAGTTTGGTAACTAAGTGACTTTCTTTTGTATTGTATTGGTGTTTGCGCCTTTAAATCAATTTTCACATGGACTTCGGACTTCTGTAGCAAAATAATAAGAAAAGATGTAAGTAATTGATTTTCAGTTGCTTATCAAAAAAAAAAAAAAAAAAAAAAAAAAAAAGGAGATTTTCAGTTGGCTTAAAAACAAACGTAATAACTAAAACCAGATGTTTATTATTAGAGTTTGGTTTATTATATTTGTTAATATTGTAATTATGTTAAGTTTATCTTGTTAGGAGTTTTAGGCAAGTTATGTATTGTGTATATATATGTGAGTATTATCAATACAAGCACTACTAGAAAAAAAATGCTATTTGTAACGCCTTATTTGTAACCAACAATTTTTTATTAGTTACAAATACTATATTTGTAACCAACATAATTAGGTATGTCTGTTACAAATAGGATGATATTTGTAACGGACAACATAATGTTGGTTACAAATACACCCATTTTGTAACGGACAAGAGAATGTTGGTTACAAATACATCCATTTGTAATGAACAACTTATAGTAGGTTACAAATAGGAAAAATAACCGCCTAAAGCCCATTGCCCCTAACCCTAACAACCATACAGCCGCCCCTTTGTTTCTTTCTCATCTCTATTCTCTCTTCTTTCTTCTCTCTATCCTCCTGATCTCCTCCTCCTTCATCCTGATCTCCTCTTCTTTCATTCTTTTCTCCTCTCAAATCTCTCGGTCCTCCTCCCTTCTTTCTTTCTCGTCTTTCCCTCTCCTCTTTCCCTTAATAGCTTCATTATTATCTCCTCATTAGCACACCTCGATCACACATGAGCCGTAAAAAATCGAGCTTCACCATTAGCCCAAGAACACCGTCAACCGTGCACTCGAAGCTTATTAAACACCGACCACCACTACAACAAAATAAAGCAAAGGTAACAATGGAAAACCATTGCCTAATATAAAAAAAAGTGTTACCTTGTAGCTAAGGCAACACATATGAGGCGTAATTTATGCCCCCGTTGTCTATTCATAAGGCAACACATTTTTATTCAAAGGCAACAATTTTGAAAGCCAAGGTAAAATGATACATAAGGCAACACTTTTACAAAGACAACAAATGGAAAATGTTGTCATCTAAGGAGATAATTAAAATATGTTTCTAAATGTTGTCACTCCCAAACATTTAGTAGTTGGTAGGGCTCGAACTTGTGACCTCAAAGTCACAAGTTGAGTTTCCCACCATATATATATGCGTGTGTGTATATATATATATATATATATATATATATATATATATACACACACACACACACATATATAAATGTTGCTATAGATGGCAACATAGATATTAATGTTACATTTTCAAACAATAGTTTTGTTATTGTTATCTTTTCATGCAACAATTATTATATTTGTTGTCTTAGACAAGAAAAATGTAACACTTTAAGCAATTGTTGCCTTATATAGTCTAGAGTAACACTTTTTTTTTCCATTACTTTAGTTCAAGGTAACAAATAAATATTGTTGCGTTAGATTATTAAGAGTAACATTTCTGTAAGTGTTGCAATCTTAATTGTTGCCTATTCTCATTTTTTTTGTAGTGCACATTGCTCCACCATACACTGTCAACCACCCACAAATTAAACACCGAGAAGAATGTTGAGCACCCACATAATAATTGTCCGGGGACGAGCATTAAGATGTCAAGGTTTTTCATTTTAAATTCGATTTTTATTAAGGTTATAGTATAGATCTAGTTATTTTTGTTTTTATTTTTAATTCAAGTCTTCGATTATAATTAATTTGTTGATATAATTGTAATTTTATTACATTGTTTGAGATAATTGTAATTTTTTTTAGACGTTTTTATATGTGTAAGTTTAATTTATAGTTTTTTTGATGTTATTTTTGTTATAACTTAGCTTAGATTTGATTTTTTTTTTCATTTTGACTGAAGCTTAGATGTGATTTTACTTGTGTTATTTTTAAGATAGTTGTTTGTGCTAATTTTTATTAATTTCTAGACGATTTTCTATGGGCGATGAGGTGGTTTTTCGTACATTCGCTGCTATAGGTGGTGGTGTAGATGAGGGTCACGGGGTTGGGGATTGGTGGGTAGTGGGGGTGGGTTTTTTTGGTCATGGATGGGTAAGGGGCCTAACGGGTCGTGGTGGTAGTGAATATGGTTTGCGGTGTGGGAGAGTGGGTTGTGAGGGTAGGTTTGGGTCATGGGCAAAGCCACAAGGTATTGTGCACCTTGCGTTCAGATTCAATGATATATCTAAACCTAGCATTTTTTGCTAGGTTATTTCTTTTTAATATAAAAAATGAGCATTTGTAATTGATATGCCAGTTACGAATAGACACCTATTTGTAACTGACAATTCAATTGTCGGTTATAAATATTTACCTATTTGTAACGAACATATTAAATGTCCGTTACAAATACATAACTATTTGTAACTAACAATTGAAATGTTAGTTACGAATAGGTACCTATTTGTAACGGACAATGTCCGTTACAAATGACATGACTATTTGTAACCCCATCACTTGTAACGGCCAATGTTAGTTACGAATAGCGTTTTTTGTACTAGTGAAGGGTCAAGCCGTTTTTTCCACATTATTCTTGAGTTTAACATGGTATCAGGCCTCTCTAATTTCTAGAGATTTTTCATCGATCTTGGTTAGTTTTTTTTTTTTTTAATTCTGCAAATTTAATTGTTAGAGAAATTTGGCTTTAAATTTTTCTAAAAAAATTTTCCTTCAAATTCTGTTTTATTTGCTCGAAATTAGGGCTCACAAACCCTAATTTGATTTTGGTTTGGTGCGCATCATTGGTGTGTTCTGTTTTGTGCGCTCTGTTTTTTTTAGTGTTCTGTTTTCTTTTGTTCTGGTTTGCGTGTGTTGTTGTGTGGTGTTGTGTGTTTGCAGCATTGTGTGGCGTGGTTTTGGTGCAGTGTGGTGCTGAGGAGTGCTGCGCTGTGTGTGTTGGTGGGTGTTATTGCTCACTAATTGGTTGCTCGGTTTGTTGGGTGCTACGTGAGTGTGGTGCTCATAGTTAATTGCGTGGTGCTGCTTGTTGCGGTGCTGCGGGTGTGGTTTGGTTCCTGCTGCAGTGTGTGTTGTTGTGTTGAGCAACGTGTGTTCAGGTTTGGCTGTCTCTTTGTTGCTGCTCTTGTGTGTTGATTGTGGTGCTTCCAAGTAGTGTGGTGCTGCCAGGTGTGTTGTGATTGGTTTTGTGTATTTCGCCGCTACTTACTGTTGTTGTAGTGGTGTGGTTTGGTTTCGTGGTTACTATTACGCTTTGTGGTGCTTCGTTGAGGTTTTTCTTCACTTTACATATTTGAAGTCGGTTTGGTTTTGTCTTCGAGTATCATATTGTTTTGTGGTTCAGTAGCTCGTGGTTTGGTTTGTTGTTTGAGCTAGTTTGGTGGTTTCCTTTTCTTTTGGTGCTCGGTTTGGTGTATTTTTTTTGTTGGATTGGCCTAGTGTTTTCTTTCAATGGGGGCTCAATCTAACCGTATATTTGAGCGTCTTACGGATGCAGATCGTAGGAGTGTTCCTACTATCACTGATGAGCAATGGAAAGAACTTTTATCTTTAGTTTAGTGCTCGAGTTCTTCGTCTATTCGCACCTATAATTCTGTCGATTGGCTCATTGATAGTGGAGCTTCAAATCACATGTCTGGTAATATTGATTTATTTACAGATTTATCTGATATTTCGTCTCCTGTTGGTTTGCCTAATGGGAAGAGCACTACTGCTACAAAAGAAGGGAGAGTTATTCTGTTTGATAATTTAACTCTTCATAATGTTCTTTATGTTCATGCTCTTAAATGCAACTTGTTGTCTGTGTCTCAGTTGTTAGAAAAACAATATTATTCTGTTATGTTCACTGACAAGCTATGCATTATTCAGGACCGCAATTTGAGGAACCTGATTGGAGCGGGGGAGTAGTGTGATGGGGTCTATATTTTTCGTCCGGTTCGTGCTCGTTTTTCTCAGGAAAACAAAGTGATGATTTCAGATGCGAGTTTGTTATGGCACAGACGTCTTGGTCATCCATCAATGCAAGTGGTTAGTTCCCTTCCGGGAGTTTCTCGTATTACTTATGATCATAGTAGTTCTTCTGGTTGTTCGTTTGATTGTGATATTTGTTTTATGGGGAAGCAACCCCGCAACTCTTTTCCATTGAGTACGAATAGAGCATCTGGTATATTTGATTTGATTCATTGTAATATTTGGGGTCCGAATAAGATTTTTTCTAGTAGTGGTGCTCGGTATTGTTTAACCATTATTGATGATTTTTCTCGTGCTACTGGGTATTTTTGATGGTTGGAAAATACGAAGCTTCACAGATAATTCGTGAATTTTGTGCTTTGGCCAAAACGCAATTTGGTCGTAAGGTAAAAGTTGTTCGTAGTGATAATGGTCAAGAGTTCCTCAGTTTTGGGTCTTTCTTTGCAAAGAAGAGCATCTTGCATCAAACTTCATGTGTTGACACCGCTCAGCAGAATGGTAGAGTTGAACATAAACATCGTCACATTCTCAATGTGGCTCGTTCTCTTCGTTTTCAGGCAAAATTGCCCAAGTATTTTTAGGGTGAATGTGTTATGAATGTTGTCCATTTGATTAATAGGACTCCGACTTCGGTTCTTCGTGGGAAAACCCCTCATGAGTGTTTGTTTGGTCAAGTGTCGTCTTATGATGGCAATCAGATTTTTGGTTGTCTTGCTTATGCTGGTAACCGTCCTCGTGTTAAGGACAAGTTTGATCCTCGGAGTCGCAAATGCATTTTTGTTGGGTATCCACATGGTAAAAAGGGGTGGCGTCTTTATGATTTGGATACTAACGAATTTTTCGTTAGTCGTGATGTTCAATTTTATGAAGATAAGTTTCCGTCTCTTGAATCTCTTCCCGATGACCGAAGATTACAATGGGAGAAATATTTTTTGAACCCACCGTTGTGGGATGATGATACGGAGCTACTTGGGGGTCCTTTAGGTGTTCAAGGGGGAGGTAACGCGGTCGAAACAAACCACCCCGTAACCAAGTCGCGGGAGCAGCTGCCAGATGCAACATGGCTGCGGAGCAGTCTGCTTTTCATCCCTGCCCCCCTGCTGGAATTCCAGCAGGCCACCCAGCACCCGCTGGCCAGACGGTCGCTCAGCAGCAGCAAGGCATTGGCCAGCCCGCTGGAATTCCAGCACCCGCTGGCCAGCACAGCAGCGTGGCAGCAGGTCAGCAGAGCTGCAGCACCCAAACAGCCAGTGATGGGCAATCAATACCCTAGCCTGGCGTGGCTGGGCAGCCCACGCCGGACACCGGAGCCGGTCAGACCCCACCCCAGTCAGTGGTGGTCCGACAGCCGGTGGTGGTCGATGATGTAAATTCGCCGGTTGTTGATGATTTTTCTAATGCCGAGCGTCCTTCGCATATTATTGAGCAAGAATTAAACGACAAAAGTCATTTTATAAATCTGGAATTTTAGAGGGGGAGTTCGTCGGGTAATTTGGGTCGTGGTCATCGTGAAAAACGTCCTCCTACGTGGCATCGGAATTATGTCACTCATACAATCATCACTGAAAATATAGACCTTTCTACATCAACTGTCGTCCCTCCTCATTCGCATTCCTCAGGTAAACCTTTCCCTATGGCTTGTCATGTTGAATATAATCGTTTTTCTAACAGACACAGGTGTTTTTTTGCGCGACGATCACTAAGGGAAAGGAACCGTCTTCATTCAAAGAGGCGGTTTAAGACGTCGGTTGGCGTAAGGCTATGCAAGATGAGATTGATGCTCTAGAACGCAATGGCACATGGACCGCTGTGGATCTTCCTCCAGGCAAGAGGGCTATTGGCGTGGTTAGGTGTATAAAATCAAGTACACCGACAAATCCAAGGTGGAACGTCTCAAGGCTCGTTTGGTTGTTTATGGCAACCGTTAGGTTGAAGGTGTTGATTATATGAGACATTCGCTCCAGTTGCAAAGTTGACTATGGTACGTATCCTGTTAACTGTTGTTGTGTCTTTGAATTGGGAATTACATCAAATGGATGTTCATAATGCATTTCTTCATGGTGATTTGGATGAAGAAGTATATATGCAGTTTCCTCCAGGGTACGGTACTCCGACACCTGGTAAAGATTGCAGGTTGGAGAAATCTTTATATGGCTTGAAACAAGCCCCGAGACAGTGGTTTTCTAAACTGTCAAGTGCTCTGCGAGGTTTTGGGTTTAAAAACTCATATGCTGATTACTTTCTATTTAGCTATGTACAAGGCAATGTCTCTTTGCATGTTCTTGTATATGTTGATAACTTGATAATTGCAGGCTCTTCTCATGATGCTATTTTTCGTTTTAAAGCCTATTTGAACAAATGCTTCTATATGAAGGATTTAGGTTTGCTTAAGTATTTCTTAGGCATTGAGGTTGCTCGGAGTCCCTAGGGCATCTTTCTTTCTCAACGAAAGTATGCTCTAGATATTTTGACTGAGGCAGGAATGTTGGGTTGTAAACCCATTGATACTCCGATGGAGCAAAATCATCGTCTTGCACATGCTTCCAGTGAGCCGTTCGCTCATCCGGAACAGTATCGTCGTTTGGTTGGTCGTTTGGTTTACTTGTCGGTCACTCGACCGGAGTTGAGTTATTCAATGCATGTTTTGGCACAATTTTTGAGTGTTCCACAGGTTTTTCATTGGGATGTGTCTATTCGTGTCTTGCGCTATCTTAAGGGTAGTCTGGGACAAGGTATTTTGTTGCGACCTACGACAGATTTATACTTGATGGCGTTTTGTGATAGTGATTGGGCGGCGTGCCCGTTGAGTCGGCGTTCCTTGTTAGGTTATTTTGTTTTCTTAGGTCGTTCCCCCGTTTCTTGGAAGACTAAGAAACAGCCTACTGTAGCCACATCCTCTTCTGAAGCCGAATACAGATCTATGTCCCTCACTTCTCGTGAGTTGAAATGGTTGAAGATGTTGTTGTTTGTTCTTGGTGTTAAGCATTCAAAGCCTATGCAGTTGTTTTGTGATAATCAGTCGGCTTTGCATATAGCCAAGAATCCGGCCGGTGTTTCATGAACGTACAAAGCATTTTGAGGTAGACTGTCATTTTGTTCGTTATGAGTTGATAAATGGTAATATTTCTACCTCATATGTTCTGACAGGTCATCAGTTGGCAGATATTCTCACCACGGCTCTTGGTCGTCAGCAGTTTGGTTTTCTCTTACGCAAGTTGGGCATTCGTGATTTACATGCTCCAACTTGAGGGGGAGTATTAGAGTTTGGTTTATTATATTTGTTAATATTGTATTTATGTTAAGTTTATCTTGTTAGGAGTATTAGGCAAGTTATGTATTGTGTATATATATGTGAGTATTATCAATACAAGGGTCAAGCCGTTTTCTCCACAATATTCTTGAGTTTAACATTTATTGTATAGTGCGTGCAATAATTTGATAACTGGCTATTGGTAAAACTTAAATCTTAGTAATATCTAATATATATATATATACTAAAACTTAAATGAAACATTTATTGGTAACTATATCAATAGTTCAACAACACTAACTTAGGTTGTCAAACAAGTCACTCCTCATTTTAAAGCATTTCATACAACAAATAGAATACATCCTTAGGGTTTACAACCCTTTTGAAAGGATAAATAAATTAGGTGTTAATTATAGATGTAATAATGTAGTTTGGACAATTATATTAATTAACCAAACATTCATGATTCATCATCCTCTTGTCAATGTGAAATTAGGCTAAAAGTTCACACAAACTAATACTCCATACTAAACCTGGGCACGGGCCGGGTTGGCCCGCGTGCCGCCCGGCACGGCCCGAATTCAAGCACGGCACGACACGAAGTTCAACTCCCGTGCCACGGGCCGTGCCACGGACAGGGTTGAGAATTCCCAGGCACGGCCCGGCACGAGCACGGGCATGGCCCGCAGGCACGGCCCGCGGGCCAACGGTAATGTTACCGTTTATTCTAGCTCCATAATAAGCCAAAAAACGGCTAAAAAACGGCTAGTTTTTTTGCCAATTTGCTCCCCAAAAATTCTATAAATACTCACCTCCATTTCATTCCCAAATCACAAAATCACAATCTCTTCTTCTTATCTCTTATATTCTCTAAATCTCTAATAATCCTTATTTTCTTAAATTCTCTAATTATTCTCTTAAATTCTCTAATTATTTTCCTAATATCGGAAAAAATTAAAAAGTTCGTAATCGTAATTAGTGGAGCGTTGAAGCACGGTTGTAAGATCTAAACTAATCTTAAATTTATTATTGTTTTATTGTTATTATTAGAATAATCTTGTTTAATTATTATTGTTGTTAATTGTTATTGTTGTTGTTATAATTGTTGTTATTAATTATTATTATTGTTACAATTGTTGTTATTATTTATTTTTGTTGCTATTGTTATTGTTATAGTTGTTGTTATTAATTAATATTATTGATATTTTTATTGTTAAAATTGTTGTTATTAATTATTATTATTATAGTTAACCACTTTTTATTAAAAAATTAATTGTTAATTATGGCATCAAACAACCCATCATCTAGGTCTAGGGGGAAAGGCCGACTTATCCGTAGTAGTAGTTCTAGGGAACCACCAAATACAACGAGCCCCCAAATTACGAGTCAAACCAATGACCCCATTTACTTCCCCCCGGGCTATGAGCCATATAATACGTCGGGATTTCCAGCACCACCACTAAACCAATTTCCACTACCACTATACCAATTTCCACCTAATTATATCGGTGATCAACAAAACTATTGTTCTAGCCAAGGTAGCCAAGAAAGTACCCGAATTCCCTCCGGTTCTACCCCTTCTACTGCCACTCCCACTAGTCTCACTACTAACCATCACACACATCATGAATGGTTAACCGAAACTGAGATGCTACTTTTGAAAAACCGAAGGAGTGAGGTATGGCGTTATTTTGTCCTAAGTAAAGATGGTGAACAATGGGCAAAATGTAAAACATGTAATAGTGTATTCACGGCAGTTACCAAAAACGGGACGGGACACTTATCTAGACACATGAAAGCTTGTGCAAAACCAGCTAGTGATCCAACCCAGCCCAAAATTTCCCAATTCCATCCATACGGCTTTACATACAACTATGAGAGGGATAGGGATGAACTAGGAAAAATGATAGTACACGCCGAACAACCTTTTCTTTTCTCGGAAAGTGACGCATTCAACACCTACATTAACAAAGCACTACAACCCCAACATAAAAGAATCTCTAGGAAAACCGTTCGTTCCGCCGCAATGAAAAATTTCCTAGAGTACAAAGTCCGGTTACAAGCCGAATTGAGTAACCTTAACTGTAGAGTATCTTTAACAGCCGATTCTTGGGATAGTGGTTATAAATATCACTATTTATGTGTGACTTGCCATTGGGTAGATGATCAATGGATGTTACAAAAAAGAATAATACATTTCAAAATGCTGGAATACCCACACACCGGCATTAACATTGCTCACCATTTAATGCAAGCAATAGACGAATACAACCTTCGAGATAAAATGATGTCTATGACTTTTGATAATGCAACCTCTATGACATACACAGCTAATCTTATCAAACAAAACTTAACCGATGTACTATTAGACGGTGAAGCTCTTCATACTAGATGTGTTTGCCATGTACTTAACTTATGTGTACAGGATGGAGTTCGGGAAATTGGCCCATACTACAGCAAAATCAGAGATGCTATTATGTCTATTAATAGCTCTAACATGAGATACCAAGAATGGAAGAGTTTTCTAAAACAACAAAAGATAAGGGTAATAAAAATTAGAACCGATTGCCCAACTAGGTGGAATTCCACCTATGACATGTTAACAAAGGCAATTGAGTACAAGGGACCGTTAACATTATTTTACAACCAAAAATTTCCACAAAATGCTTTGTATGATGATGATTGGAATAACTGTGAAAGATATATGCAATTTTTACAGTTATTATATAACATGACGTATTGTTTTTCTACTGTTTACAATCCTTGTGCTCAAAACTTTCTTTCTAATGCATGCTTACTCGCCCAACTTTTCGCTGATCATCGCCATCAAAGTGATTATGATCAGTATCTTCCAGCAATGGAAAAAAAGTGGCGTAAATATTATAGTGAGATTCCTTTGATTTATATTTTTGCTTCCATATTAGATCCTAGGCAAAAGTATGAAAACACATTTATGTTAGTTGACATTTACTTTCAATGCATGTTTCTTGACGATAATGTAGAAAACTATAAGACTAATGTGAAGGATCAGTTTTTTGCTTTATATAGAGTCTATGAAGCCAAATACGGCATCGTTCCTCGCTCAGGGCCTTCCCAACCATCCAAAAACGTAAGTAAGAAGGCCAAACATTTATTTTCACAAGCTACTAACTTGATTTCAAGGTTTTCAGGTGATTCATCAATCAGGAGAACGCAAAGCGATGTCTCGGAGTTGCAGATGTACCTGAGTTACGACTTCACCAAAGGCATGGACGAAGATGAGATAAACAGCCTCGACCTCCTTGCATGGTGGAAACAACAAAGCTCGAAGCATCCAACTTTGGCGGCAATGGCACGAGACATTCTTGCTATCCAAGTTTCCTCCGTCGCCTCCGAACGAGCTTTCAGCGCATCCGGAAGGGTTTTAGACGATAGAAGAACAAGTCTAAAACCCGAAACACTAGAAATGTGCGTGTGTTTCAAAGATTGGTTGGATGCGGAAAATCGCTCACAATACCGTTCTTACGACCACAACGACAATGAAGAAGGAACCTCCGCTTCCGGTTCGGGTTCGGCTAGTTCCCAATCTATGCAACTAGCCGATGACCTTGAAGGCGAAGGCGAAGACGAAGACGAAGACGAAGACGAGCAAGAAGAAGGAGAAGAAGAATAGACAATTATTGTATATTGTACGATTTTAAAAATATCAATTTTATCATTTTCCAATTTTTGTTTAATACCATCATTGTATGATTTTTATCATTGTTATCATTGTACAATTTTCTCAACTCAATTAATAATAATATAAAGTACGCATTATTCACATCCGAAGTCTAATTTGCCTTTTTTCCCCGTTTTGTTACAATTTGTAAATTCATATTAAAAAAAAATAAAATTATACCAATTACTAATAAATCATAAACATTAAATTTTAAAGTAATAGTATAAAGTAAATATATAAATATAAATATTGAATATACAAATTATAAAACATAAATATTCAACTTATAATTATAAAATTCATAACTTAATAACTTATAACTTATAAGTTATAACCTTATAAAACTTATAATTATAATTTTATAACTTATATAAATTATAAACTTATTAATTTATAATGTTGTCATATATTAAAAAAAAAAAAAAAAAAAAAAATTATTTGAAAACTGCACCAGCCCGCAGGCCGGCACGTGGCCGGCACGGCACGAGCCCGCCAGGCATGAGGGCCGTGCCGTGCCGTGGGCTGGCCTGTGAAAATGGCCGGCACGGCACGACACGAAATCCTGGCCCGCCGGCACGACCGGCACGGCACGAACCAGCCCGTGGCCCGCCAGGCACGGCCCGCGGCGGCACGGCCCGGCACGGTGCCCAGGATTACTCCATACCATCTTTCGACTAAATACTTAACCTTTGGTGATGTCCCTTAACAAAGGGTGATAAGTAGGGGGCGGAGCTAGGGGTTGGTGGAGGCCTTTTTATTTACAAAGTAGACCCCTAAAAATATTATAAAATACATAATTTGTAGACTAACATCAATTATAATTGGTGATTTAGTTGGCAGAAGCATTTATAATTATCATTGATAATTTATAAAGTGAAATTTACATTTATTTATTTATTTATATATGGCGTTGTATATGTTGGTCAGTAGAGCTTTTTTATTTTATTTTTTTATTTTTTTTATTTTAAAGAAAGTCACTAGAGCTTTGTTGATATCAAAATGAAGTCATGTCTTAGATAAGCATGGGTCCACTATGCGACACAAAATCAAATAATCTTGGGTAATGCAAGATCTTATTCAATATTTTTTTCGGCTATTTCACCGAATGCCACTGAGTAATTTCGAAATTCACCAAATGCCATCTAACTTTTCCAAATTCACCAAATGCCACCGAATTTTAACAAAATTCACCAAATGCCATTTCCGTTAGTTGACCGTCAATGTCCGTTAGTTGACCGTTAGTTATACCCCACCACTTGCCACGTGTCACCTTCTGATTGGTCCGTTTTAAAAAAATATATATATTTTTAATAAAATTAAACAAATAACAAAAATAAAAATTAAAAACTTTTAAAAATAGTAAAAAAAAAAATTAAAATAAATAAAAATTACAAAAAAAAAATAAAAAAAATTAAGAGGTGGCAGCCACCACCTCCTCCGTGACTGCCCACCCCAAAACCCTAACCACCACCACCTCCTCCATGACTACCCACCCCAAAACCCTAGCCACCACCACCCCTGCCGCCAGGGCTAGCACCGGAAGGCGCGCTGGCCTCCGGCGACCCCTCCCCTTCCCCTCCCCTACCCCGTTGCAACCCCTTAACCCGCAAAACCCCACCCCCTTCCTCCACCACCCCGAAATACAGTGGGGACTGGGGATTCGCCGGTGGGTCGCGACAGGAAAGGGGAGGGGGCTGCGACGGGGGGAGGCGAAGGGGAGGGGGGCTGTGACGGGAAAGGGGAGGGGAAGGGGAGGGAGCTGCGACGGGGAGAGGGGAAGGGGAGGGGAGCTGTGACGGGAAAGGGGAGGGGGATGCGACGGGAAAGGGGAGGGGAAGGGGCTGCGATGGGTTAGGGGAGGGGGTTGCGACGGGATAAGGCTAGGGGAAGGGTCGCCGGCGGCCGGCGCGCCTGCCGGTCCTAGCCCCGGCGGCAAAAGGGTGCGGCGGCGGCGGCTTCGTGGGCTGGCCGGTGGCAGCATAATTTTTTTTTTGTTTTTTTTTTATTTTATTAATTTTTTCAAGTATTTTACTATTTTCCATTTTTTAAAAATTTTTTCAACTTTTTTTTATAATTTTTGTTTAATTAATTTTTTTTTTAAAAATGGACCAATTAGAAAGTGACACGTGGCAAGTGATGGGGTCCACTAACGGTCAACTAACGGTTGTCAGTCATTAATGGCATTTGGTGAATTTTGTTAAAACTCGGTGGCATTTGGTGAATTTGAAAAAGTTCGATGGCATTTGGTGAATTTCGAAATTACTCAGTGGCATTTGGTGAAATAGCCGTATTTTTTAAAAATAATGTATGAGTAAACTTTCTTTATTTCCACTCGACTTCCACAAGTCTACTATAAGAGGAAAGGAATATAGTGAGACAAAAGAAACATACCATAAAACATGACTAACCTTTTCTCTTCAATAATGTTTGATCCTTTGTGTTCACAAAATAATGAAATATTCCTAGATATTTCTGATTTTGTACCTTCAACTCAATTTGAAGGTGATCAAATAACCCCAATATTACTAGAGCCGCAACACAATTATGATCTTGACAATCTCTTTAACGAAATCCCCACTTTTATAGAAGACCCTCCTCTAAAACCAAACCTTAATCGTAAAAAACGATCATTAGCCATTGTTCATGATCAAGAAAACAATGGCATAAACCCTTACGATAGCAAGAAAAAGAAGAAGATCATACATAGAGAAATCGAACGAAAACGAAGACTTGAAATGTCTTCCCTTCATACATCTCTAAAATCTCTCCTTCCTGTTGAATACACTAAGGTGAATACTTTCTCCATCCATATCATTTTGTCTCACCTATACACTTCACTAACTTTTAAACTTTGTATTTAGTTAATTAATTATATTAATGCATTATTATTATTAATTATTGTATGATTACAAAATGTGGTTAGGTTTTTGCATTGTATGAGTAGTTTATGTTTTGTTCTTTGGAAAAGTTTGTGTTTGGAAAAGTTAGCTATTTCGTCTCAAATTATGATTTGTTTTAAAATTTAGTTATATTAGAAATTTGTGTAATTATAGTAAGCTTATTATTTACTTGAAGAATGTGTGTGATCCAAGAAAGACATGCTAAGTTTAATTTTGCATTGTGGGGGCTTTGTTTTGGATACTTATTCTATTTTGATTTTGTTGTTCAAAATTTAATTAAAACTAATCAGCTTAATTTTTTGATCGAGTTGGTTTTTTTGCAAAGTTAGTATGCATTGAACTCTTTGTACATGTATTTTACTAACAAAACTAAAACTGATCAAAAAATTTGGATGTGGATATAATCAAAATTTTGTAGGGAAAGCGATCGATATCGGATCATTTGGGAGAGGCAGTGAAGTACATAAAACAAATGCAACAAAAGATGCAAGTGTTGAATGAAAAAAGAGATACCCTTACAAAAGAAGTGTCAAAACTTGAAGGGCACAAAAAATATGATAATGATGTGATTGTGAATGTTAAGAAAGAAAATGTAGAGGTGATTGTGAGTAGTAATTGTAGAGAAGATGATGAAAATGAAGGTCAAGGGTTACCTCTATCAAAGGTTCTTCAATGTTTAGTCCAAGAAGGGTTAGATGTGCTCAGCTCTACTTCAAAGAAAATCAACACTATTTTTGTTCATTCTATTCAAGCTCAGGTATTATTCTCTAATATTATACTCAATTTGTCCACTAATTGTCACATCCTTCCATCCCTTTGTTTATATTTATTAAATGATCTTGTCAGAAGATAATTTTGACATACCTTTAATTTTTTATACCTTTTTTGTGAAAAGAGTATCGTAATTGTATTGTAATAATGGGTGTGCTTAAATCATATTCCTTTTCTTCTCGAGATACACTTAATATTGTCATGGAAATTGTTTCTAAATGAAAGATATACTATAAGCTATCATAATTAATTTGATTGATTGATCTTTCAATTAAAAATTATTTGTTTCATTATAATGAGACAATGACGGCCGACATCTCAATAATTTTACTATTATCATAAAAAATTTCATTTATTTTGTTTGGTGGTATGGTTGAGAAAATATTTTCATACATAATTGGCTTTACTGACCATTTATTTAATCTTTAATGACAGGCAGGAGAGGATGGCAAGATTGCCATTGATGCAACAAATCTCAAGAATAAAATAGCTGATATCCAGAGATGAACGATTTTTTATTCTAAATTATTATTTGATTTTCAACTTTGAAAATAAGGAGTGATGGGGAATTTAATTAGGGGTGAGGGGTGTACCTGGTATTATTTAATCTTTAATGTGCTAAATATATTGGATCTGTAATTTCAGACTAGAAGTGATAAACATTTCTGCAAGGTTTTGTTTTGTCTTCTTGTAAATCTATCTATTACTCAAGCTATCCTTGAATAAAAGTGTGCTAATGAATTAAGGGCACAAATGGGGAGATTGAATTGGGGACTATGTTATTATATCTTTCACCACCATTTGTAGACTATGTTAATTTTATGTACCTTTTGGGAATTGATGTGATATTGGATTCCTAGCCAAAGGTTAAATAATTTTGATAGAACTTAGGATATGTTCTCTTCAACTTAATTTCAGTTCAATTTAGTTCAGTTCAGCTGCAATCAGCTCAGTTCCTAATTTTCTTCTCTCATAAACAATTCATTTAAGCTCTATTCAGTTTATCTTAGCTCCAATCAGTTTAGTGCAGTTCAGCTCTAATCAGTTTAGTTTAGTTCAGTTCATCTTAGTTCAGTAAATCAGAATAGGCCCTTAGTCCCTTAAATTAAAAACTTAGGCCCTATTCTTTTGACTTATCTATAGTTCAGTCACTTTATAATAGTTTAGTTTAGCGCATATTCTTAGGTGCACACTCATGCACCTAGAAATAGGTGTAACAACAGCACAATATAAACATTAGCTTTTCAGAAAGTGAACATTGGCTTTCTTCTCATCTATTTTTCTCCTTCGTTTTTTATTTTCTCTATCCTCTATTTTTTTAAATTTCCCCTTTTTTACACTTTTTTGATTGAATTTGTTTCTTACAACATGAAAGTAGTTAGTAAGTATGAATTTTGTGTGAATTTCGATTTTGTGCTTTAATTTCGATTGATTAAGGTTTATATGAATCTTTGAATTCACAAATTATACTCTGTTTTTTCTCCTTCCTTCTTCAATTCTGTTTTCCTCTGTTTTTTTTTCTTCTACTTTTCTCGTTTTTTTCGATTTAATGATTGAATATGTTCCTTACAATATGGAATTGGTTGTTTATCTGATTTTTTGAATTCATATGAATTGAAATTTTTAGCTTCGATCAATAAAAAAAATGCAGAAGATTTTCTGCATTTTTTTTATCAATGAACATAATCATGCAAAATATGAACATATGCGTAGGTTCCCTTAAATGTGAACATTAGCTTTTCAGATAGTGAATATAGGCATAAAGCATATGAACATATGCATTTCAGAAAGCAAACATAACAATTCAAAATATGAACGCAAGCATTGGTTTCCTTAAAGTGAATATAACCATTTAAAAGATGAACATATGTGTAAAAAAATATGAACATATGCATTTAAGAAAGAGAACATATGCATAAACAGACTTAGTGAGAATATTTATGAACAACAAATATTTACTATGAATATTTACATTATGAACATATAAATATTTACATTATGAACATATAAAATATTATTATGAATATAAGACATGTAATTATGAACACAAAAAATTGAAGAAATAAAAAATAATATGATTATGAAACATATGCATCATAAGTATTAAAAATGCACAAAGTTTAGTATACGGCTAGCCGTACCGTGCGGCCATCCATATTTTTTTTTTTCATTTTCTCTCTCCTCTCCTCTCCTCCAAGCTCCAACCTAGATTGTCGTCGCCGTCTTCGTTGTTGTCAAAGCTCCTCGAAGCTCCAAACCAACCCAGACCTCCGTCGTCGTCATCTTTGCTGGCGAAAGCTCCAAACGAACTAGAACTCCGTCATCATCGTCGTCGTCTTCATCTTTGCCAACGAAATCATCCAAATTGGACCTTCACCTTCGCCGTCGTCTTCATATTTGTGGTGAATTGCAGTTTTGAAGGTGAGATTAGGAGGATGTTAAAGTAAAATTAGGGTGTTATGGTGGATTTGTGAAATTAATCGAAGAGGAAATCATGCTTTTATGGGGTCTTCAACAACCCATCTTTTCCAAACCCAATGCTTAACATTCTTCAATCTCCATCTTCTCTGGTACTCCTCTCTTTTCACCTTTTCAATTTTTTTTATAGGAATTTCACCTTTTTAATTTACATCGTTTTTTTTGCTTCTTTGTCACACTAATTGCAGTTGGTGGTGAGGTGGTGGCGTGGTTGTTGGCGGTGTGGGGCAGTGAGTACGGGAGTGAATGTGCAACAAGTGGTGTAGGGGTTACTAGGGGTTACTAGGTCGGAGTCACTAGGTTGGAGTTACTAGGTCGGCTAGGAGTTACTTGGGGTTACTAGGTCGGGGGTTACTAGGTTGGTTAGGGGTTACTTGGGGTTACTAGGTCGGTTAGGGGTTACTTGGGGTTACTAGGTCGGTTAGGGGTTACTAAGGGTTACTAGGTCAGTCGGGGGTTACTAAATCAGTCAGGGGTTACTTTTGTCTGGGGGTTACTTTGTCATTTGCTGATTTGGCATCCTGCCGCATGGTGCGGTTAGCCGCACCAGAAATGCACTGTTAAAAATGTGGGCATATGCATTCAAAATATGAACATATGCATTGGTTCATTTGAATGTGTATGAACGTAATTAAGCATTTCAGAAAGTGAACATATACATAAAAAAATGAACATATGGATTTAGAAAGTGAATATAAGCATTTTAGAAAGTTTACAAAAGGATTCAAAATATGAACATAAGAATTTAAAATATGAACATAAATGGGAATGTGAACATAAGGTATCCGTTTGATTTCACTGTTTATTTATTTTTTTACAATTCCAATAAAAAACTTCAAACAATAGAGTATCGAACAATATTCAAACAAAATTAAGTGATAATCATATAAATTCAAACAAAATTAAGTGAAATTTACATAAAATTGCCTTTTTTAGGGATGATCCTTTTGATTTTGCATCTATTTTCTAATGTCTATTGATGTTTTTGCAGCTTTTTAGTGAGAGAAAATGAAATAAAGGAGAGATCGAGAAAGTGAAATAGAGGAGAGAGAAAATCATGAGAAGAAGAAGAAGAGCAATTTCTGAGTTTGGAAGTGACGTTACACTGGGTGTGGGTGGGTGTATTGTAGTTACCGTGCTTTTTATTTAGTTGTAAGGCCTTTTTTTTTATATACTTCTGGGCTTTTTTTTGGCTTTTAGGCCGCTGTTACGCCTATCTAAGGTGCACAAGGGTGCACTTATCCAAGGTGCACAAGCCCCTTAGACTAATTGATAGTTTAGTTTAGTCATCTGAGTTTTCCATGGGTTAAGCGAAAAAAAAAACCATCATTATGTGATGACAAGGCAAGTACTCTAAACTATTTGGCCGGAATTAATACTCCTTAGTGGTTGATGGACCAATTTGCATCATTCTACAGTTGAAGGAGTAAAATGTTACAAATACGTAAGTTTATGAACCGTATTTTAACTTAACTTGATTTTTAAATGAAGATAATCACACAAAAACATTGACACACTGTATTGATAAATAAGAAGTGTGCAAGCCTTGCGTAAAAAGGAGGTGCCAAGAGGTGAAAACATTCATGATATTATCAATTTCCAGAAATTGCTAAGTGACTCAAGGTGGATGGTGTAGGTTGTTCATGTGTATCGAGAAGGGAATAGAGCAATGGATTGGTTGGCCAACCGCCGAGTTGTTCAACACTCTCAAATTCAGAATTTTAATGTTATTTCTGTAGAATTTTAAATCGTATTTTAGGGCTTGTTTTAATTGACTGAACTGAGCTGAAATTGTTGAAGTTGAATTGTTGGAGTTGAACTCAACTGAACTTATTGAACTAAACTGAAAATATTCTCAAAAGAACAAGCTTTTAGAGGAGGATATTAGTAGGGGTGTTCGCGGTGCGTTTTGGTGCGGTCTGATCATAAACCGCACCAAACCGCAAAAGTGCGGTTTGTAATTTTTTCAAACCGCACCAAATCGCACTTTTAAAAAAATCGCACCAAACCGCACCGCAAGATGCAGTTTGGTGTGATGCGGTTTGCGGTTTAACCGTAATAAATTAAAATTTTAATTATTCTTTTTAAAACAAAACTTTTATTTTATATTATAATTATTAGTTGATAATTTAAATATTAAACTCTTTTTATCAACCTTTAATCAACTAGAAGTAAAAAATTAGCTTATATATTTTAGTTCTTTATATAATTTTAATGAAAATATAGTATAAAAATCGCAAACCGCTTTAAAGTGCGGTTTGCGGTGCAGTTTGGTCTCAATAATTTTGGAAACCGCACCAAACCGCAAACCGCAGTTTGGTCATTTTAAAAAACCGCACCGCAATTTTCAAACCGCAAACCCCACCAAACCGCAAAATTGCGCCACGTGTACAACTTTGAAAAAAAGATGACATCAGCGGTTGCTAGTTTAATACGAAGTATTAATTAGTTATAGATTTTGCCTTTTTGTTTCTTTTGCTTCTATTTGGATTTGTTCCTCTTTCAAATAAAAATAAAATAAAAATAAAAATAAAAATAAAAATAAAAATAAAAAATACACCGATCTACTCGTGAATTGTTAATAAATTCCCAATTTAATACTAAAAAAGGAAAGATATTAAATACTTTTATATGCAGCCCTATAACATTACCCTTTTTTTTCGATAAGAAAATTGTCCTCTTTCTATATCTCAACTGCTATTTGTCGCTCCCAAATTACCAGGTAACGCTCCCTTTTTGCCTTGAATGGACCACTATGCCCTTTATGCAATTTGGGTTATAAAAATGACCTTGTTCCCCATTTGGACACAATACATGAAACGGTCCCCTCACTTCACGACATTGCTGTCCCGAGCTTCCCAAAATCGGTCCCCACGACCTTGCAACCAAATCGGTCCCCACGACCACCTAAATTTTCTATTTTCAAAAATCGTTAAATTTTCCGACGGGTCTTCGGTCATGGACGGCGAGTGGAACATACGTACGCCGGAGAATGCGTCAGATCATTCTGTAAGTTTTTTTTTTATTTTTTTTATTTTCAATAATTAGGACATCCGCCTAAAATTTCCGAATGTACCATGGAACATCCGGAAATTTCAAAAATTTCAAGCGGAAGATGGGATCCGCCTAAAAAATCCGGATGTTCCATGGTACATCCGGAAATTTCAGGCGGATGTACCTAGGGACATCCGGAAATTTTAGGCGGATGTCCCTATTAATTTTTTTTAAATGTTAAGTACGTTTATTTAATTTTTTTATGTTTATTAAGTTTTTTTTTATGTATTTTTTTTTTCGTGGTCTTGTGATTATTGTTGTGATTTAGTATTTGATATTTAATGTAATTTTGTTGTATTAATATGATTATTAGTAATATGTTTATTTTTTGTTTCATTATTATTATTATTATTATTATTATTATTATTGTTATTATCAGTAATATGTTGATATTATTGTTGTTGTTGTAGTTGATATTATTATTGTTGTTGTTGCTGTTATTTTTATTGTTGTTGTTGATATTGTTATATTAATTAGTAGAAATATAATTTTAATATTAATATTATTATTATTATTATTATTATTATTGTTATTAATATTATTATTTATTTATTAATTAATTTTATGGTCTTATAAATTGTTTTGTAGTTGTTGTTATAATTTTTTATTATCATTAATATTGTTATTGTTTTGTATTTGTTGTTATTATTATTAGTATTGTTATTAGTATTGTTATTATTATTATTATTATTATTATTTGTATTATTTTAATTATAATTATAATTATTATTATTTTTGTTTTTATTATTATTATTTTGACATAAAGCATGTTTTGTTTAATTTGTATAGGATATGGAATCTGAGGAAGGCGGTGACGGTGTGAATTATAGTGGGAATTTTTTCACCGATACGTTTTTTCCTACATTTGACGATGATGTTACATGGGCTGATGGTGTTTCCATAAAATTGGGATTTATATTGGTGAAATCGTCTTATAACAAAACCAGAGATGGTCGGCCATATCGGTATTTGCGATGTGATCGGTCACGAAGGAGCAAGCTGAGAGATTTGGAGAACGCGATACGGAAGGACACCAAAACCAAAGCTAATGGTTGTCCATTCTACATCAAGATATATTATGATGTCAGCACCGAAAGTTGGAAGATCATTGCGAAAAATGATCACACCGGGACACATAACCACCCAATGATTGTTTTGGATGATGTAGCTCGTCGAATCACGTAAATCCACGCTTGCAGAAGCGTGAGACAACCAGCAATCGAATCAGCACCTTTCCGTGATGCCGTGCCCAGTTGCCGATACAAGTAGGCTAGTGCAGCTGTTCCCCAAGCATACTCGTTAATAGGGACATCCGTGTGACATAGCTCGTGAAGGAAGGAAGGATGCGTACGGTTACCACTCTTGTCTACAAACAGTGTACCTCCAAGCACTAACCACAAGTATGCATCAAGCTGCTCACTAAAATCCCGGTCGACCGCCAATGTCGACTCTAAAATCTTATCAGTCAACACCCCACTACCCTGCCAAATGGTCTTTGTGCCGCAAACCTCAGACAGATCATCTGGAGTCATATCCATGGTGACCGAGCACGCGTCCCGTAACACGTCCGTGCTAGGAGTAGTGGACACCATATTGCCTGCAACCCGTAACCCAAGTATGTTGTACACGTCGTGCAGCAAGATCGTAATCTCCCCAAATGACATGTGAAAGGTGTTCGTATCTGGCTGCCACCTCTCAACAAAAGCAGAAATCAACGGCCAATCAAGTCTCTTAAACATCAGGCCAGGCAAGTGAGACAACCAACTAGCATCAATCGCCGCAATGTCCTCCACAGATTGACGGCCTCGCCAAGTGAACAAGTCAGAACATAACTTTGTCGGAAGTTCCATGGAGGATCCACCTGGAATTTCCGGATCCTCCATGGAACATCCGGAAATTCTGGGCGGATGTCACTTCCGCCTAAAATTTCCGGATGTTCCATGGAGGATCCGGAAATTCCAGGTGGATCCTCCATGGAACTTCCGGAAATTTTGGGCGGAAGTTCCTGGGATCCGAAATTAAAAAAAAAATACCTCGTCTCCACCATCGCCGCCGCCGCCGCCACCAGCGTCGCCGAAGGTCCTCACTCCGAATCTCAGCCTAATGCGCCTCGAATCACCCATTTTCTTTTGTGTTTATGATGATTGTTGTTTTTTTAAAAAATGAAGAACAATTTTTGAATTTTTTTTTTTAAAAAAAAATTGTTTTAGAGAGTAAGAGAGTTTGAGAGTTAGAGAGAGAAGTAAAGAAGTGAGAAATGTTGGTCGGGAAGGAAAAAACCATTTATATATTAGGGGTAAAATTGGAATTTCAAGAAAAAAGGGAGCGTTACCCGGTAAAATGGGAGCGACAAATAACAACACCCTTCTATATTCCTAATGTCCTATGTATATTCCTTAAAAAAAAAAAAAAATCCTATACAGTATACACTTACCAACCTCCAATCAACAATGGCGGATTCCATTGACCCAAATTTCCACCAAAAACCCCTCCTCGTAATCAACCGTATACCCTCTTTCAAATTCCGCTTCGACCACCGCCTCACACCCACTTTCACCATCGTAGACCCCATCACCGCCGTCGGCACCGACTCCTCCGCCGCCCACACCTTCCTCCGCCACAACGCCGCCGCCGCGCGCGCTGTCCTCTGCATCGGACCTTCTCCATTGATAAAGGACACCTTAGATTGCCTTCCTTCTTTGGAATGCGTTGTCGCTCACTCCGTTGGTTATGATCATATTGATTTATCTGAGTGTCGTCGCCGGGGAATCTCCGTCGCTAATGTTGGTGACGCCTTTTCGGATGATGTTGCTGATTGCGCTGTCGGGTTGTTGATTGACGTGCTTCGTAAGGTCTCCGCTGCTCACCGCTTTGTTCGGGCCGGGTCTTGGCCCGAACAAGTGGCTTTTCCTCTTGGGTCTAGGGTGAGTGGTCTTTCTTTTCTCTGGTTTTAAGTCTTCAATTTTACTTGCTGATTATGTGGTCAAATTACAAAGTGTCTGTTTTGATTTATTGAAGTGAGCTGAATTGACTGAAGTGAACTAAATAGAGCTGAAATGAATATTTTATGAGAGAAGGAAATTGAATTAATTAACAAGGTGATACGGAGTACTTAATTATTTTATTACTGGTACTTTCATTTGTTCGTTTTTGTTTGTCTCATTTTCCATTTTACTCCCTGTTTACATAGATATACATACATAAATAACATGATGCAGAAGAATTAGGACACCCCTTATCTTGCATCTACTTCCAACCTAAAATTTGAAAAAGAACGTGCTTATTGGACAAATAAGAATTAGGACACCCCTTATCTTGCATCTACTTCCAACCTAAAATTTGAAAAAGAACGTGCTTATTGGACAAATAAGGGGACGGAGGGAGTAATTTTTAGCTATATTTATAACGAACTTCATTTAGTTAATCAGAGATGCACTTGTACGGTTGTACGACATGAAAATCTAAAGGTAATCATGTAAGAAAACCAAAGAGATGTACAGTGTAATGGAAATGATTGAATGTACATACCAGAATCTCTACGGGGCTGAAATATTCGAGTAATTCAACTTGCCCTTTTCTTTTCTACCAAAAACATCATTAGAGCTTGACTGATGAATTTAGTTTATGCTCAAAACTCTATGCTTTTACTACCCCTTTAAACTAGATACTATTTAGCTAAGTCATACATTCCTGAATTTATGATGCTTGTATATAGTTATATACTAAACTCCTGAGTGATTTTCTGCAACGTGCTACTTCAATTACAATAACTAGATTTATGGCAATTGTAGTTAGGTGGAAAGCGAGTAGGCATAGTCGGCCTTGGAAGCATTGGTTCTCGGGTTGTAAAGAGACTTATTCCACTTGGTTGCAGCATTGCATACACCTCTAGGCAGAAGAAACCCTCGGTTTCTTTTCCCTACTACGCCTATGTCTATGACTTAGCACTTGACTGTGACATTCTCATCCTGTGCTGCTCATTAACCAATCAAACCCGCCACATGATCAATGAGGATGTCTTGAATGCATTAGGAAAGGAAGGAGTAGTCATTAACATCGGCAGAGGGGACCTAATTGATGAGAAAGAACTTGTGCAGTTTCTGGTGGATGGCAGAATCAGAGGGGCTGGTCTTGATGTGTTTCAGAATGAGCCCTATGTTCCTAAAGAATTGTTCAGCTTAGATAATGTCGTCCTCTCCCCTCATCAAGCTGTCTTGACTCCGGATTCCTTCATGGCCGCAGAAGACATTTCTGTAGCAAATTTGGAGGCCTTCTTTTCCAACAAGCCCTTAGTTTCTCCTATAAGTTGGGATTAGTTGCAGTCATATACTGTACATTTTGTCATGAAATCGTTGTATCAATTGTATTAGCAATAAAATGTATTTGTTCAGGGATAAATAATGAGGGCTGCCCCGTTTTTCTCTTTGATTGACAAAATTTGTCAATCTATTTTGTCATCTAAGCAATTGAGCTTACATACTGATGAGTCAGATTAGGAAGTGGACAAGTAGGCATGCGAAATTGAACACCTAGACAAGCGACATTATAACGTCGGCAACATGGTAGGTTAACGTCGGAAACATGGTAAGTACGAACAACATATCTAATTGAAATTCAAATTAACAACATTGCTATCAATTGAGTCGCACATTTAAGTCATCAATTTTAGTGCATTAAATAACAGTTGTATAATAATTTACACTGTAAATTACTAATTGAAATTCAAATAAACAAATAGCTTTCTATAGTATAATTATGAACTCATCACTTAGTGAGTACAAGAACAATTCTATTACTTGCTGTATATTTAACTGAATCACAGAAATCAGTAATGTATGGATAATTTAAACAACAATTAAGTCATCACTTAATGAATCATCTTCTAAGTTGACATCATCAACGCTATCTTCGTCCATTGCACGCCTCCTTTTACCCAGATGAATGATTCCCATATACAATCAATATCCAATTGGAGAAACGATAGGTTGAAAAGAATGCTCAAGCTTTTCCTGTTTCAATGGAGATTGGAGAAAGAGAGTTGAGTTTTTCGGAGGAGGGAATTTGGGGGTTTTTATTTTGGAGCTTTGGACAACGATGCTCCAACGATTACTGATACATTAGCTTATTGAGGAAACCAAGCGGCGAGTAAGGTAGAGGTGGGAGTTGAGCTGAGCTAACCCCAGATTGAGGTTGAATGACGGAGTACATGAGCGTCAACTTTCTGGTATGAGGAAGTACTAATGTAGGTTTGATATGTATATGCAAATACATATCAAACATTAAAATATTGAAAAGTATGTAAAGCACATGGGGGGTGGGAGAAAAGGAGGAGAAAGATGGGCACGTGGGACCAGTTTTAAATGTACCACTGAAAGCTTATATAATATCATTGACTATGTAGTGATTCTATTTCTACACGTAGTTAGTACCACTGAATGAATATACAGTACCATTGAATGAATATATAGTACCACTGAATGTTCAATGATACTATTTGATCATCTAGTGATACTATTAATCACCCAGTGGTACACTTAAATTCAGCACATGGAGGTGAGAGAAAGGAGGAGAGAGATGGGTAAATTTCATGCGAAATGTCTCTTATGCTCCTTGATATGTATGTCCAGGTACCTATCAAACCTCCCTTTGGAAGGCTTCAATCCGTGTAATACCCGTGTTATGACGTGGACTGCTCACTCAGCTGTAACATGGCAAAATGAACATGTCATCACACTGATTTGATGAAATGGTCCTTGTTTCTAATGAGTGAAAAACAAAGAGTACCCTTAGATTGACAAACTTTGTCAATCAAAGAGATAAACTGGAAATTGGCGATAAATAATATTCTCCCTACTTTCGCATTGCTCCTTTTCTTTTTTCCATTTGTCAGAGATTATTTCCACCACTCTCTCCATACTAAAATTATAGTGACATGCTATCTTAGGATATCCAGATAATGTTATAACCTTTCATTACGTAGTTATGATTTATGATAAGATTTCTCAATACGGAACACTGCTACTACATTAATCATCTTGTTGAGAGTATAAGTCAGCTATTTTAAACCGTCTTTCTTTGTAATGCCTTGTCAATCCTTATTTACAGGGATTGTGCAAATCTTTGTGAACAAAATATGGAGGACTGGCTGTAGATATCTTAGATGTGAATGCACATGATGGTTAAGTTTTGAAAAGAAAAATATATTGCTGCTGCAATTTTGAAAATTTTACAGTAGTCTTGTGAGAAAAGACTACCACAAGCCTAAGACTACCACAAGCCTAATGACGTGGCATAATTTAATTGAATGTCATAAGCTATGTCATCTTTGACTTTTCAAAGCCTTTTATAATTAAAATTCATTTCTTTAAATTCTAAAATTCATTTTTTAATTTCCGAAAATTATTTTTTATGATTTCAGAAATTCTTTTTTTGATTTAATAATTAATTTCAGAAAATCAAAATTTAATTAAAAATCAAACTAAAAAAATTAATAACAAAGATTGTTCTTCATTGTTCGTTCTTCATTGTTCTTCATTTCACTATCCAAAATTAAAACTTTAATGCAAATTTGTCACAATTATTCACTAATTAGTTCAATGTTTCATTATGAAGTCCGATGTTTAATTTTGTTCATCAATTCGTTTACTAGCAATTCGAAGTTTTCATTTTTTAATTTTTAGATTTTTGTTCTTACAAAATCTCAACCAAAACCGCATTATAATGTATTTGTTAAGGATGAATTACACGCATAGGTGTTTGGTTATATCGCGGTGGTCGTTGGCATGGTGGTTTAGGTTGAATGATTGATATTTTTCCGAAAGTATGCTTGGAGAAGACAACAATTCTTTTTTTGTTTTCGTCCTTGTTTGATCCGTTAAAATGTAAATAATTTGTTGCAAACTTGTTTGTGCCTTTGATAATGACCTTAACCTTGTTAGGTCATTACCTTTGGAAAATAGTAGTGTTTTATATTATTTGAAATCGTTTTATTTTGTAAAAGATTATTATGCCAGTTATTGTCAAATTCAGTTTTTTACTCTATCTCACGACATACACGTTTTCATCCACTAGCTCTTGTGCACTTTTTTTTTTTATTTATTTATTTTTTAGTACTTCATTCTTTGCTTTCCCTAATTCAAGTGATTGAAAATTAAATACACTAAACCGTGGATGATGCATAAACATTAATTGATTGAAATTATGTACACTTACAAGAAAATTATTCAATTAATGTCCACAAATAAAATTTCACAAGTATATACCAATTAAAGTTCATAAACACAATTCAAAAGGTATACAAAATTATATAGATTTATCAAAAATAACGAATATACTTACATCTTCGTTTTTAACCATGATGGAAGTTCAAGAGTACTCAATTGTTGAATTTGAATTGAATTAGGGAAAGCAAAGAATGAAGTTCTCTAAAAAAAAAAAAAACATTTCAGACTAAAAAAAAAAAAAAAAACATTTCAATTGGTGAACGATTTTTTATTCTAAATTATTATTTGATTTTAAACTTTGAAAATAGAGTGATGGGGAATTTATTTAGGGGTGTGGGGTGTCGTCACTGTGGTGTTATGATGTTTAATGTGCTAAATAAATTGGATCTGTTATTTCAGGCTAGAAGTAAAAAACATTTCTGCAAGTTATTGGCCCTGTTTGGGAGAAAGCTGAAAGCTAAAGCTGATTGAGTTAGTTGATTTTGACTAGCTGATTTTATTAACTGATTTGACTAACTTAATGTATTAACTGATTATATAAAAGTGTTTGGTAAATAGCTGATAGCTTAAAGGTGATTGAGTATGTGAAATGACCAATAAGCTAATTGTGGGGTAGGTAGTTTAGATAGGATTTTAAATTAAATGAGGTTATAAGTGTCTTTTCACAATAATTAATGAATAAGCTAATTGAAAAAGCTCCTAAAATGAGCTTTTTCAAAAAGAGATTATTTAGTGGAATAAGCTCTTTCAATAAGCTTACTACCAAGCACTTGTATTAGCTTGTTTGACTAGTCAATCAGCTAAAGTTAGTCAAATAAGCTAATATACCCCCAATAAGCTTACTACCAAACAGGGCCATTGTTTTGTCTTTTAGTAAATCTGTCTAATACAGTAATACTACCTCCGTTACACATTATTTGCAACGATTAGATATTTTTCCTCTTTACTTTATGTCAATCGTTGCAAATAATGTGTAACAGAGGTAGTACTCCCATTATCATATCACTAATATATAAAGCCGGTCTCGCACCCAGGTCACAAGACAGTGACTTGGCTAACTAGTTTTTCGCCAAGTGACGTGTCACGCATGCGATAACTAGGATGCTAACTATTTGAATTTTGGATAATTTTTGAAATTAAAATATTGTATCGAGTTTTATCATACTACGTAGATATACTACTAATATTTCATATACATAACATACAAATTTAACCATAACTTTTAATAAAATTCTAATAACTCGGTTATATTTCCATCATAAAATTTGTTTTTAAATTAAAATTTCTAAAATAACATCCATATATATATATTTAAAATAATAGAGAATAGTAAAAATAAGTTTTAATTGGTTAAAGTATTTTTAGTTTAGTAAAAATATTTTAAATATGATATCGCATGTCTAAATATCCTGCATTATGTGATCATAGGATCGTATTTAACATTCAAGCTAAAAGGTTTATCCCAAAATTCAATAAGCAATTTGGGCATCTCCCGGGTAAAGGAACTAGTTCTTAAATAAAAGTGTGTTAACGAGTTAAGGCACAAATGGGGACTATGTTGTTTTATTTTATTTTTTAAAAAAACCCAAACCAGGCTTAGACTGGAATATCATTAGAAGCTAAAGTAGCAATCCGGGGTGGGAGGACATCTCGCCGTACTCGCTTACCAACATCCCATGGTTGAACACGGGCAAGCTCGTGTGCTACCTTATTACCACCACGTTTAACAAAAGACCAAACAACACAAGAAAAATTAGAAACAAAGGCTAAAATGTCATCAACAATAAGATGGAAGTGGCTAGACCCCGTAGCATTGCTTCGCAGTGCTTCAATCACTTGTAGACAATCACTCTCAAGAATGATGTTTTGAAATCCTTCCTCGTGCGCCACCTTCAGTCCCCAATACACAGCATTCGCCTCAGCAATTTTCGCATCCCACGTCTCAAGGAACTGAACCGCAACAGAGCAAACAACCTTGCTCCTTCATCCCTACACACCACTCCAACCCCCGTGCCTACATTTCCCAAAAGACCAGCATCAGTGTTCACCTTAGTAAAACCCAAAGAAGGCGGAGACCAAGAGACAACAACAACTTCTCTTATAGTACCTGAGCTTCCCTTCTCCTCTCTCAAGCCCCGCATCTCCCCACACACCTTCAAGGCATAGCTCACAACACTATAAGGTTTCAACCTCCCATTCATCATAATCACCTTATTTCTAGCACTCCACACGGCCCAACACA